CAGTGGCTCTTGGTGTGGTTCCAGAAGTATGGGGGCAGATCAACGAGCACACGCGGCTGTGCTATATGTGATCCAGCTGGAGAGTTGACCTTGTAGAGGTCGATAGTCGTACATCCCTTGGCAAAGAGGAATGCCGCAGCCTCAAGAGCAGTCGAGCAAGCATCCTGTCCCCTAGATAGCACAGACTTGTATACAATGCCTCTCTTCTCCAAGCCTGGAACGCCCAGAATCTGCTTGATTGGACCTGCCAGAGCAGCGTGAGGGCCGAGTTCGACCAAGACGTCTACCGATGCTTGATTGGCGGCAAGACGACGAGCACGCTTGGCAGTGGCGCGGGGAGCACAGAGAGCCTGCAGACCAGTGCTGAAGCGGACGGGGGACACCATGTTCTCCCTCCAGTACTTAGGGCCAAGGATGTCAGAGGACTTCAACAGCTCTCCAGTAACGGTCGAGACCATCTCAATAGTTTCCGAGGGCGTGTTGACCTCCATACCAGCCAGAGAGTACTCGTAATCGCTAGCAACAGCCTCCATGTGGTGGGAGTGATACGCCGTCGAGACCTTGAGTAACCGCGCAAAGACGGCATCCTTCTGAAGAGCCTCAGCCAGAGCGGCTATGGCAGGTCGATCACCCGAAACAGTGACATTGGTCGGGCTGTTGATGCACGCGACGCATACCTTGCCGAGCTCCGGAGCAAGGGTACTGATGTAATTGTTGGCATCTTCCTCAGCAAGGCCGACAGCCATCATGGCGCCATCAGCTGACGGCAGCTTTTCTTGCAGACTAGAAGAGTGCAGACCGCGGAAGTAGGCCGCCTTGAGGGCTGATTCAGTGGGCAAGATACCTGAAGCATAAGCGGCGGCGATCTCACCACTCGAGTGGCCTATGACCTTGTGGGGACGAATACCCCAGCTGGCGAGCAGATCGACCAAGGCAAGCTGGAGGGCCGTGCAAGCAGTCTGGCTAACGAGGGACTCGTTAATGCGAGATGTCTCCTCATCCTTGTTCAGTTCATCTATGCCAGTTAGTCTCGGCCACAAAGATACACGATCCATCGTTACTTACCAACGAGAGACCATTTGGCTCCAAGACTCTTGACAAACCGATCGAAATATTCCAGGCGCTGTTGGAAGAAGGGATAAGTTTGGATCAATTCTCGACCCATGGCGAACCACTGGGCACCCTGGCCTGTAAAGACAAAGGCGATCTTGAGCGGGTTGATGGATGCGCGCACCGGCTTCTGGCGCGTCGCGGCCACCTTCTCAGCCAAGTCGGGTAGAGACTGAGCTACCAGGAACGACTTCCAGGGCAGCATGGAACGACGGCTGCAGAGTGTGTACGAGAGATTGTCGAGGAAGGCTTCCTCGTCTGCCTCCTTGCGGTGGGCCAGATGCTCAGCATATACGGCCGCACTCTTTCCAGCAATATTCTCTTCATGAGTGGACCAGATGAACACGCGGTGACGCTTTGCAGTGGAGAGAGTGTGACCATTGGAGTGGCCGTTGGTATAGCCATTAGTATGGCCGTTTGTCAGACCGTTAGTATGATCATTGGTGTGACCGTTTGTGAGACAATTGGTATGCCCATTGACACCGTTGGAATTAGGCAAGACGGGAGCAATCGCGTTGCTCATGGCAATGCCAGTCTGCAAGTCCAGCAGTGGCCTAGGAGCCGTTCGGTGAGCACCCTTCAGACCACGCGCATTCAGATAATGAAAGGCATCATCAAGAATGACGTGTCCGTTTGTTCCGCCAAAGCCAAACGAGTTGACACTGATTCGACGCTGCCCCTTGGTAGGCCAGGCTATCGCCTCGGTGGGGACTCGCAGGTTCCAGCCTTCAAGGTCGATCTGCGGATTGGGCGTCTCAAAGTACACGTTGGGAGCAATAGCGCCGCGTTCAAGTGACAAGACAGCCTTGATGACACCGGCAAGACCACTTGTACCTTCAGTGTGGCCGACATTTGTCTTGACACTGCCGATGTAAAGTGGAAGCTTCCGGCCATTCTCGTCCACGGGGCGGTGGGGGCCAAAGGTGTTACCGATAGCTCCAGATCTAACATAGGTCAGTATTGTTAGACCCTAGTTCTGTAAATTGAGCTTACTCGAGGGGATCTCCGGCTTGTGTTCCAGTACCGTGAGCCTCGAAATAGGCCGTGGTAGCAAAATCACAACCTGAATCCCTGTAGGCCGTCTTGATAAGCTCCTCCTGGGCCTCTCGCGAAGGCAGCATGATACCTGAGGTCTTCCCATCCTGGTTGCAAGCCGTGCCTCGAATCACAGCACGAATCGTATCATTGTCGCGGATGGCATCAGCCAAGGGCTTGAGAATCAAACAAGCAATACCCTCGCCACGGGAGTAGCCGTTTGCACGAGCATCGAAACTGTAGCATCGTGAGTCGGGGCTGAAGAAATGCATGTTAGACATCGCTGTGATGATGTCAGGGTTGAGAATCAGGTTGGTGGCACCGACGATGGAGCGATGGCTCTCTCCTGAACGCAAGCTCTGACAGGCCAGGTGTAGGGCAACCAGACTACTACTACAGGCTGTGTCCAGGGTCAGACTGGGCCCCTTGAGATCATAGAAGTAGCTGATGCGGTTAGACAGAATAGCAGCTCCGTTACCCGTCACCGAGTACAGAGGCGCTGTTTCCGGATCTCGATCGATAATCTCATAGTAGTCTCGAGAGAAGCTTCCGACGTAGCAGCTCGTGTCGGAGCCAGCCATGTCGTCCATACTCATTCCACCACTCTCCATGGCCTCATACACCGTCTCCATCAGGATGCGTTGCTGAGGGTCAATGCTCTTTGCTTCTGTGGGGGGGATGGAGAAGAACGATGCATCAAAGGCGGCAACGTCTTGCTTGAGGAAGTGGCCTCCCTTTGCGTTTGTCTAGAGTGGCTTCATCAGTATCAAAACTCTTGAGAGTGTGGCAAGGACAAAAGACAATACGTTTCCTCCTCGTTCGCCATCAGGATGCCAGAAAGAATCGATATTCATACGCTCCTTGGGAACCTCGCTCCAGGCGGCTTTCCTCTCGGCACATAGTTCCCATAGTTTGTCTGGGTTGGTGGCCTCGCCGGGTAGTTTACAAGCCATGCCCACAATGGCGATAGGCATGGACTTGTCCTGCTGCAAGACAGCCTGAACGAGAGGCTCTGGCATTGCGTCGCCATTGTTGATGATATCTTCGGTGTATGCCGGCATTTTGACGACGGGGAGAAACTTAGGGAAGACGTAGCACAAATGTCAAGGGATGACTTATGAGATGTCTTAAGACAAAGGCTAGTAGAAGAGTGAGAGAAGTGAGGATTGCAGTTGTCCTCTCCCAGCGAGCCGGGAGTTTTTGGTATATGACACTCTTTCTAGACGCACCACACTGAAGAACGCGATGTCCCTACAAAGCTGCAAGTCCCAACAGCCAAACAGATCTCCGGTAAGGACCGCCGAGATGGCTAGACCGTAAACGGTGGTGGGTGAAAGCCGCAAGGCGATAAGCGGAGGAATAGTGAACCAGGTTCGGATTCCTGCGCCTCGTTTCAACTCCCCAGTTGCGTTCACATATCGCGCAATCCTCCCGAAGTAGCCACATTCCGTAAAAATAAGCAGACATTAACCCGTGCGGTGCCTAGATCCACAGCTAGCTTATCGCCGTGATACATGTCAGATCAAGGTAGAAGCTGTTGGTCGGCTCACGCCACATCTCGGCGGGTTCCAGCAGCAACGCCCATTCGCTCGGTGGGTTTCAACGGCGTGAATCAACCTCAACCCGCCGTGACACGGCAGCCGAGATTCCTGATCTTTCTGGCAATGAGAACAAGCGCTTACACCACGTGGCTGGCCGTGACGGAGAGGTTACCTGACGACTTCCAACACAACACAACACACGTTGACCAGGACTCGCCTGCCTCTCCCAGATTTCAGCCCTACAGTCAAAGTACACTCAGTCAAACCCACTCGTCAAGATGAAGTTTCTTTGCTTGCATGGTGCCGGGACTAACTCAGATGTACGTCCTACTGAATCTTCTGCATGTCCATCACTGACTGATCTATCTGTAAATCAGGTCCTTGACATTCAAACTGGTAATTTAAATGCTCTGTATTAAGAGGACATTATTTAACACCAAATCCAGGGCCAATTCGTAATGCGCTCGACAGCAACGCCACGTTCAAGTTCTATGATGGGTTTTGTGACGTAGAACCAGTGCAAGGTAACTCGCCTTCTCAACTCCATAATGCCCCGTCATGCTTAACTCAGTGGATCAGAGATCAAGAACATATTTGCCGGCCCCTTCTACACTTGGTACTCTCCTGGCCTCGGCGGTCGCACTCTCACAGAAGCCAAGGCCGAACTTCTCGATCTCATAGCGACTGAGGGACCATTCGACGCCTGCATGGGCTTCTCGCAGGGTGCAGCCCTACTTGCGGCTGTCATCATTGATCATCAGGTACAGAACCCATTCGGGCCCAACCTGTTCAAATTTGCCGCCTTCATCTGTGGCGGGAGTCCCCTGCTTGTTACCAAGACGCTAGAGCAGGACAATCTCGACTACCAGCCCGCTGTAGACAGCATGGCCTCATTGACGGAGCCTTGGCTGGGACCATACGTACCGGGCCACGAGCCACATCCTGAAGAACAGTGGAACATGCTCGTGGCCCACAAAGTAAGGGAGGCTGGCTTAACCATTCGGATTCCCACGGCGCACATCTATGGGGCCAAGGACCACACCGTCAAGGAAAGCCTGAACTTGAGGGACATGTGTGATCCCAGGAGGAGAGTTGAGTTTGATCATGGAGGGAGGCACGAGGTACCCAGAGCCACTAGAGTTGTTCAGCAGATGGCAATGACGTTGAGGAGAGGAATTGATAAGGCCATGACCGCTGTATAGTAACCAAGTAGTCGATGTGCTCTTGAATATCAAGCTATTTCTCAAGAGGTTTGATTTGGAGCCCCTCGTTAACTTCGCTCAATGTATTTTAGAACGGAGCAGTGAAGTTCGATCAAGTATCTCGGCTGTTCTCATCCTGGATCTCAGTCTATAGTTTCTACCATACACCTATCACATTGACTATCTTCGCGCCTTCATAATAGATCTTTGTCTTCTACTCATGAATCCTATTCCCGTATTTCTCGCAAATCTCTCATCCTGGTTCTCAACTTCTTACTTGTCAACCACAAGCCCAAGGCTGCCACAACGCCCAGTCCAGCAAAAGCCAAGAGAGCTCGACATTGCGTATCATAACTTATACCATACGCTTTCCTTACTTGCAGTGCTTCCGAATCACTGAGTCCATCGATGGCTACTGAAGAGCTGAGCACAGCTGCTATTTGCTCGGGAGTAAGGAAAGTGGCCAGTTGTCTGTTGAGGTCCGTGTGCAGCACAGTTGAACAGGCAGCCAAGGCAACACAGCCTCCAAGGGTTCGAACCGTGTTATTAGCGCCCATCACAGCCGCTAATGTCATCAGGAATAATGTAAGACAGCAGATCAACGGGAGGACCAACCTAGGTTTTCATCGCCAAACTCAACCTTGAGCAAGAAGATTAATGACGGCATCATAAGGCCCAATCCCACACCAAGGATGACTTCATACCCATATACTGGATTGGATACGAGCCCCGAATCTGGTAAACTGCTTAACAAGCCCATACCTACCGTTGTCAAAGCCGCCCCCGTGAACAACAGGATGTATACAGCATGAGGTCTCTTAGACAATGCTACACCGCATGCCATAGAAAAGACTGGTGATACTAGCGTGAATGCAAGCATTCTGAGGCCAGCACTTAGTGCTGAAAGCCCATTGACAGACTGAAATCGTTGGGGAAGTAGTATGATGGCTGCGTAGAAGCATGCGCCCATAGCGAACATGTTTCTATTCGTGACGTGTCAGCTGGCTCCTGGTACCTCTGGGACAATCAAGACATACATTAGGTTGAGTGACAAGCTCAAACTCCGTAGTAATCGAATGGGAAATATCGGCTCTGGGTGCGATTGTCGCTGAACCCACACTTCATACGCAACGAAGGAAACGAGTCCAACGACGCTACCTACAAGCGTCCCGATAATGACGCTACTGTCCCAGTCATACCCATCACCCGCTTCTTGTAGTGCAAATACCAGCAGGATCGGCCAGGCCAAAGAAAGGAAACCACCAATGGCGTCAACGCGCTGTATCTGGTCCTTGCCGAAGAGTCTTTGGTTTGCACCAGGAATGGCAGGGATGACAAAGGCCAGAGAAATGGCGATTCCCGGGCCACTGCCCGTGTTAGTATAACATGCCTCTGACTCGGATCAACCTCTCCTATGGAGGGTATGGCTTACTTTAAAAAGAAGACCCATCGCCAGGTTGTGTTTTCAACAATAGCGCCGCCAAGGATCGGCCCCAGGAGACTGGCCAACGCAAATACTGAGCTGAGTATCCCGGTGTAAAGACCCACTTTCTCAACTGTAACTATCTTGGCGATGATGATAAAGACGGTCGAGTAGATGCCAGAGCCTCCAAGCCCTTGAAAGGCACGGAAAACAATCCTGATAGACATCATGGTAGTCAGTAGAAAACGTACACCTAAGGCAAGGGGATGAGCGAAAGAAGAAAGACTTACAGCTGGGGCATCGTCTGGGCTGCGCCGCAAGCCAACGAAGATATTAGAAAGATGACCTGAGAGACGATGAGTAGCGTCTTCTGGCCAAAGACATCAGTCAATTTGGAGAACAACAGTAGAAATCCTGTAATTACTCTAGTCAGTATCACACTTTGATTAACATCTTTAGTGTCTATTTTACCATTGTAGGTGAGAAGGTAGGCCACAACCACCCAGTTAGACTGCATCAGGCCGTCGAGATCATCAGAAATGGTGCGCAATGCTGTTGCAACAATGGTGGTCTCTAGAGCAGACAGAAAGAGGCATATCCAGAGCCTGTCGCTCGCATATCAGAAAAGCCTCACAGAACCAAAGCAGTCAAGGTGAGACAGGGATCATACCCAAGGACGCCCAAGGCCATTCGCAGCGAACTAACGCTGGAGCTATTGAGCTGGACCGGCTGCTCTGTCGCTGGTGCCAGATGAGTTTCTGAAGATGGTGCCATCATTGTCGTTGCAGTTAGTGGCAGGATCAAGCCATTGATTGTCTTTTGTGGCGAGAAGAGAAGGAGTTCGTGGGTACGTACGGTAAGCCGAACTCCGAAATCCGTGCCGGCCCAACGGGTCTGTTGGCTCCTCCAACTGATGGTGAGCAAAACCCGCCGAGAATGCGCTGATGCCCATTTTTTCCCTCCGAAATGGGATGATGATGTATTCTGTACTCCTTGAGTTGGCTATGTAGTTATCAAGACGTCCCTAAAACTGAATCAAAGCTGCTGCTATTATGATGGTTCGCCAGCTCAAACCTCATCATGACAGACCAGAAACCCAAACCCATTCGTGTTGCCATCATTGGCGCCGGCCCAGGTGGTCTCGTACTCGCGCAGATACTTCGACAAGACCCTCGCTTTAGTGTGACTGTCTACGAGCGCGGTGTGCGCGACGGTAGCGGCACAAGTTCGTTGGTTGGTTTCCGTATCCTTGTTTCTCCCTCTATCCTCGATGATTTGCGCAGCCAGCTTCCTGCGCCTGTAGCGACTCTTATCGATGACGCCATTGGCATTACACAAGCCCAGGGGAATCGCGTGGCGTTCATGGATGAGAAATGCGGGCTCATCTGTCGCCTGGATGTGCAGCAGTCCAGGGACATGTGCTCTGTGTCAAGGTGGAAGTTGCGGGAGGCTCTGATGCACGGTGCAGAGGATATTGTCGAATTCGGTAAACAGTTTTCGTCTTATGAGCAACTAGGTGGAGAGTCAGGCGACGTAAAGGTAAAGGTGCACTTTGCAGATGGGGATGAGATTGAATGCGATGTCCTAGTCGGAGCCGACGGAGCCGGTTCAAAAGTGCGGAAACTGTTGCTTCCAAACAGTCAAAGGAGTGCCAGTGGCCTTACTGTTGTCTACTTCAAAGCGCCATTTACTCCCGAGACCGAAGCCATGATTCCTTGGAAGTCTGGATGTGTGGTAGGTTCATTCACACTATTCGCGTGTAGCTGGATGCGATGAATTGCTAACGTCCAGCCAGGCAATGACACCCAGGCGTTCCATGGTGGTGGCTTACTACAAAGATCGCCAGAGACCATATGGACCTTATGACTTGGAAAAGATTGACCCTGCCGACTCGTTTCTCATGTTCGGCCTGGGCTGCTACACCAACGAGTTCGAGAACCAGAGCAAACATCCCGACGAAATGACTCCCGAGGAGCTTAAGGATGAGTGTTTGGCCAGAGCCAAGAATTGGAATCCGCTTCTGCGTGCTCTTATTGCGCTGAGTGTGCCCAGCTCAGTGTTTGTGTCGCATGTCAAGACACAAGATCCGATTAAGCCGTGGGAGTCGGGAAGGGTCACTCTTTTGGGGGACGCCGCTCATAGGTGAGTCTCTTCTCTCACTCTTAGATACCGGTGAGAATGAATCGAGTGCTGACCAAGTCGACAGCATGACCCCATACCTAGGCAAGGGTGCCAGCAGCGCAATCATAGACGCCATGTCCCTTGCCAAAGCTCTCAAATCCGAGCCAAAGCAAGGTCAAGGTGACTTTCTCAAAGCACAGCTATCCATCTATGAGGAGGAAATGCTGAAGCATGGCTTTGAAGCATCTAGGCAGAGCATGGTTGCGCAAAAGTTCACTTTCAATGCTGGAGACACCCCGTGGAAGTGTTGGTGGCGAAACCTGGCGCTCAAGGCGTGGGATTGGTGGATGTCACATCCGCCAGCGATGGAGGAGGATTTCCCAGGTATGCATGCGTCTTTGGCTCAAGTATATCGCACGAATTACTGACTGGTGGCTAGTGAGCTATAGTGAGATGAAGAAGGGCGTATGACTCTGAGCTCAAGTTACTCATAGGCCTGTCTCCACCAGAGCTCTACGAATTTTTCGGTTGGCGTGTATAATCCAGTGAGATGATTCATAGAGGGTGTTGCTGGTCACTTTTATGTATCTATACCAGAAATAGTGATCATATTCTAAGCAAGCAATCTTGTTGTTTTACAAGGCCAATACACATCTAAACTAGCAAACCTACTTGATCAGGTTCCTCAACCACTCTTGGCTTCCCATGAATGCCTTCACTGATCCAGTCAGCCAACCCCGGTGCAGCCACAACATTCTTCCGCCAACTCCCAGTCCTCCAAAGACAGCACCAATGCCCAGAAGGCCGACAGCCCACATGTCCCAGTTCTTGGCCTTCCACACTGGCATGCGCATATCCGCCGTCTGCAGATGCATGGGCCTGAGTTCTTTTCCATCCTTGAACCTCAGCTCAGTGTCGTAGATCAGCTCTTCCACCAGGTCCGCGGCATGGTGTTTCCGCCGGGCAGCCACATGGGCGATGCGCATCAACCGTAGGCTATTGCGCTTGTAGCTCCCGTCTTGATCAAGTAGAATCTTCTTTGCCTTTGTATAGATCTCCTCGGACGTGAAGCGAAACTTGTTCAACGGCTCAGCCACGCCTCCATCGACGAGTCGAGCTGTGTTGGAGATTTGGTCCATGAAAACACCCATCGACAGCATGGGTACCCCATGAAAGAGACCCTCGTTGGCGCTGGAACCACCACCGTGTGTGTAATAGAGCTTTGTCGAGGGGTGGTCGAGGATAGCTCGCTGGGGGACAAACGTGGAACACAGCCAGTCAGGGTTCTTTCCATCCAGAATATCCCCCAGACGGAGTGTCTTGTTACCAGTCTTATAGGCCGTGTTGACATCGAGATCTTGGCGGCCACTCTTGGGAATAGACCAAATTATGCCGTCCAATAAGCCCCCTTCAAGAAGAAGCAGCAGACCGTTGATGATCTTGGCTGCGTCGGCATTGGTGAGGATAATGTGTGTGCCTAGGGCAATATAGATGACCTTGATGTGCTTGGTCAGGAACTGGTCGCACTCCTCGTTGAGTGGCGGATAAGCGTCGCTGATCAAGGGTCCAACCGGGGCACAGGTAGGAGGTAGATCACGCGGGATCTCCAGACCAAGGAAGGAGTTGACAAAGATAAGGTAGTCAGGCTTCTGTATCTTGTGAGGAGGATATTTGACACCGTTTTCCAGGCGCATCTTCTTGGTCCACGCCATCCATTTCATGATGACCGGCAGGTCAAAGAAGATGACGAGTTCGTTCTTGATCCGATGCCAGAGGCTCGCATGCTCCGAGGTAAGTGTTCCCTCAAGCTGAAAGCCCGGTTGGCCAGGAATGTACGAGCATGGCATCATCAAGAAGGGCATCTGGGGCCAGACTTGAGCGATTGGCAGATTATACTCGACGTGGATATCCTTGACGGCGTCGACAAAGAAGTCGGCAATCATGATACTTGGCCTTGTCTCCGGGTCGTCCATGATGGCCTTGAGTCCCCGATATGTCTGTGGCCAGAACGAGTCCCATAGATACTTGCTCGGCATGGTCCCTGAGATGCCCTTTGAGATGTCCCACGTTCGCATGCGCAGGTAGTGAGCATTCATCTGGTCGTGAGTCGGGCCCGGGCCCATGGTGTGGACCTTTGTGATGAACTCATAGCCCTTGGTCCAAGCTTGCTGGCCCTCGAGCGTAGCAAACTCAATGGTGTGGCCTCTTGCGGCCAGAACTTTGCCAATCTCGAATACGGGACCTAGGCGAGGGTTAGAACTTGGAAGTGAGTGGCGTGACATTGGATGGAGAGGGGTCAACGGAACATACTGGCATGGGTGAATCCGCCTGTCGTCACCACAAGCAGGATCTTGCGGGGCGGGTGCGCCAACTCGGAACTAGGCATGGCTTCAATTCAATTGCTATTATGAGCAGGCAGTTGCTGGATGACAACTATCTCGACAGATCTAATCTCTCTCGGGCTTTTGTGAGTGAAATAAAGTGTCGTGTCTCGGATGGCCCGATCTCGGCAAAAGTGCAATGTCAGCGCTTTACATGGCAACCAACACTCGGCGGGTTTAGCGGCCTATGATTGGCTGTCTTATGGCCTGTCTGCTAAATCCGCCGAAGTGGAGGGTGTTTCGCATACAGTCGGCCCACTCTGCGTCTGCACCAGCAATTCACGTCGTATTCAGATTCCGGAATCCGTGCCAACTGGGCTTCATTTCTCGAGAGCGATAAGTAATGGCAGCCATGGCATTTCTCGATTGATGTGTTCACTAGTATAGACATACTTAATTCTCTCGCAGCATGTCTAGCTTAGAGCGCTTCAAGAACAACAAAAACGGCGCTCACGCTGGCTCCCATCCTCTGCATGTCCAAAGGCATCACTCACAAGCTTCACCATATGTTACGATACGAAAGTCAAGGCTCTGATGGAGGCTGGACAGACTATTCTAATATCTAAGATTTGATGCCTCGGCTGAGGATCTAAGCATCCTTATTTAGAAACACGGGATCGCTACATCTGGAGACATGCTCAACAAAAGATGCATTCAAAGCCTACCTACTGGAAGCGCTGAACCATTTTATGTACAACGAGCTCACGTTGCATCCGTGCTTTACGCTAATTGTCACTGTAACAGATGCACGCAAGGCTAGAAATATGGCTAGAGAGTATTTCGGTAATTGCATCACAGCTGCTGATATGCCATATTTTCCAGAGTCCAAGAATCTGAGCGCAGTGGCATTCGCAGTTCGTGAAGGAATTGGGCTGACGCCAGAGAAATTGGATCGAGGCCATGCGTGGATTCAGTCGATTCAAGCTGTCAACGGGCTCATGGACTTGGCCCCCGCATTTGACACGGATACTTTGTATGTAGATGATTAGACCAAAGTTTCTATAGAGGAGTTTCTTTTGCATAAGAGCAGCATATGTTCTACCAGCCCTTGGAAGTGGAGGCTCTGCCGTTCCGAAAATGGTGCATGATCTATACGGCAAAGGCTGCTAATGCAGGAGACGCGAATAGCCTGGAATACCAGGTACAAGTCTTGGTGCCAAAAGGACGCGCAGCTGAGCGCATTAATTGGATAGCTACGGATCTGCAGGAGGGATTTGACGAGTACTTTTGGTAGAGTAGTGATAATCTAGGCACAAAATTGACGTGTCGTATTCT